GTTCCACGTCGGATTTGCTCCTCCCACGTTCACCGTTAACAATCCTCACCGGAGGAAGATGGGATCTTCTGCAGCCGAGTGTAGGCATCTCCGCGATGCACATGCAACTCCTCCACAACAACAAAGTCGTAATCTTTGACCGTACTGACTATGGACCTTCCAATCTTCTTCTCCCTCCTCAAACCTGTCAAAACGCCACCGTTTTCGACTGCTCTGCTCATTCTCTACTATACGACGTCGCTTCCAACACATTCCGCCCACTTACTCTCCGTTACGACACGTGGTGCTCCTCCGGTTCCTTAAACGCCTCCGGTTCATTGATCCAAACCGGCGGTTACGGCGTCGGCGAAAAAGCCGTACGGATATTCACACCTTGCGACGGCGGAGCAAGCGTCTCTTGCGATTGGGTTGAGAACAGAGCGTATCTTTCTTCCCGCCGGTGGTATTCAACCAATCAGATTCTTCCCGATGGTCGGATTATCATCGTCGGAGGAAGAAGAGCTTTCACCTACGAGTTTTACCCTAAAAACCCAGGAAAGTCCGTTTTCAATCTCAGTTTCTTGGCCGAGACGAGAGATTCGAACGAAGAAAACAATCTTTATCCGTTTCTTCATCTTCTCCCCGACGGGAATCTGTTCATCTTCGCGAATCGGAGATCGATTCTGTTCGATTTCGTCAATCACAGAATCGTCAAGGAGTTTCCAGAGATTCCCGGCGGCGATAAACGGAATTACCCAAGCACTGGCTCCTCCGTGCTCCTCCCTATCTTCCTCACCGGAGAAAACAACCGATCGAAGACAGCGGCTGAGGTTATGGTATGCGGCGGTGCTCCGCCGGGAGCGTTTCTGAAGGCGGCGAGGACGGTCCCTAAACTCTTCGTCGGAGCTTCTCGCACGTGCGGGAGATTGAAAGTGACAGACCCGAATCCGAAATGGGTCATGGAGCAGATGCCGTCGCCACGTGTCATGCCTGATATGATACTGTTACCAGACTGTAACGTTTTGATCATTAACGGTGCTGCTAACGGAACCGCTGGTTGGGAAGACGCAACAAACGCTGTTTTAAACCCCATTTTGTACTTACCCGACGAACCCGACCCGACCCGGCGATTCGAAATTCTCGCCCCGGCTCGGATCCCTAGAATGTACCATTCCGCCTCTCTCCTTCTCTCCGACGGGAGAGTTTTAGTCGGAGGAAGCAATCCTCACCGGAATTATAATTTCACGGCGAGGCCATACCCGACGGAGCTCAGCCTCGAGGCGTATCTCCCGCGTTACCTAGATCCACAGTACGCGCGAGTGAGACCGTCGATTCTCACGGTGGAGCTCGCCGGAAACATGCTCTACGGTAAGAATTTTACCGTTACGTTCGTGATTCCGGCGTACGGGATGTTCGACGGAGGAGTGTCGGTGCGGCTCGTGGCTCCGTCGTTCAGCACGCACTCGACGGCGATGAACCAGAGGTTGTTGGTGCTGCGCGTGAGGCGCGTGGCTCAGTTATCTGTTTTCGCGTATAAAGCTGACGTGGATGGGCCTACAAATTCCTACGTGGCACCTCCTGGGTATTACATGATGTTCTTGGTTCATCGTGGAATTCCGAGTGTTGCTGTTTGGGTTAAAGTTTAAACATTTTGTTTTTGATTCATTATAGGTTTTGATTTTTTTAAGAATGTAGTGAAACATATTTTGTTTCGTGAAAGTAATAGTTTAATAATGGAACCTAAGAGATTTTAGTTGAGTTAAAAAAAAAAAAAAATTGATATTAGGAAATTTTTCTTTCCATAAATTAAAAAAGGAAAGTGGTTGAAATTTTATTTCCTTATTGAAATACAAGTTTTGCTTTTTTTCTTTGCTTCCGGATGTTTACTAGTTCGACTTGGAATATGAGATTATTATTAGAGTATAAATAAATAAGCCTCGATGGCCTCTTTAATCTTTTATCAATGGTGAGGTCACAATTTGAGACGACACAATGTCGAAGAATTGTTTGAGTATGGAATTGTTGCCTCGCAAACGTTGTAGAACATAGAGAAGCATTTAACACGTCAGTTTTCAAATCATCGGTTCCGATTCTTTTTTGTTTTTTTCACAAAATCATCGGTTTCGATTAACATACCCAATCCTTTGAAGAAAAGACTATACCATGTTTGCCCTAGTAGTTGTGACGGTTTGATATGCTTCTACAATATTTATAATTCGGGTATTGTAGTCAATCCCGCGACTAGATGGCATAGGATTCTTCCTCCACTGAGGTATAGACGACTTTTTGTTGACAAATTTTTTCCTGATCGTTTCAAATCTTCTTTGCTTGGATTTGGAAAAGACAAATTCAATGTACATACAAACCGGTTTGGTTATTTAACTCTTCAGAGTTAGGGCTAAACAACGCTACTACATGTGAGGTTTTCGATTTTAGCACCAACATTTGGAAATATGTCACCCCTTTCTTCTCCTTACCGGATCAATGCTTGGCATGATCCTGTGTATGTCGATGGTTCGATTCATTGGTTCACCGAATGTGAAGAAACCAAAGTTCTCTCTTTCGATCTTCACACCGAAACTTTTCAAGTCATCTCTAAACACTACAAGAAAACAAACAATATTCCGACAGAATTTCTGACGGCGGAAATTTCAGTCGGAATTTTCCGACGGTATCCCGACGGATTTCCGAACAAAATGAATCCGTCGGAAATCCGTCGGAATTTTTTTACGGATTTCCGACGGACACGGAAACCGTCGGTATTCCGTCGGAAATCCGTCAGGACATGACGACGGATTTTCGACGGAAATAAGCTGTCGTAATTTCCCGATGACTTTCCGACGGAATAACGACGGAAATCCGATTTTTCCGATGTCGGCAACGTTTGATTGGTCAGCTCATACCGACGGAACTAATTCCGTCGGAATTCCGTCGGAAATTCGATGTCGGCAAATTTAAGTGGTTACCATTTCGTTAGCGGTGGCCGATGGGATTGGTGGGGTGTTATGTCGGAGGTTTGCGACGGATTTCCGACGGAAATCCGTTCTATATAAGTTTCTACATTTCTTCGTTCCTTCATAACACAATTTTAAAAAGCGAAAAATTTTGTTAGCGATGAGTTCATATTTTCGGTCTTGGATGGACGAGTTTTAAAACTCCTTTAGCAAGTGTAACTCTTGGGATCGTCTTGTGCAACCTCGATAACCGCTTGTGCGTATCCAAGAAAAAGTGGCCCGATCAACTTATATGGTCGTTCGATTCAGGCAGCAAGACATGGGAACAAATGTATTCGATAGATCTGAATAGAATCCATTCTTGGTTTGGAAAGCAAACATATGCACTCACACCACTAGCTGTTTTGGAAAAGAAGAAGCTATTGATTTCTACTAGAAGATATACGCAAAAGCAACCAATGGTGGTACATGATCCCGAAACCAAATCTTATGATCTAGTTTTCACGGCTGATGCTATTGGTAATCATGTTTGCTATTTTGAAAGTTTCGTCTCTATTTTATAAATTTATTGTGTTTTAATATTAGTGAAAGTTTTTTTCTTAGACGACAATGAACATTGTAAAAACGTGAAGCCAATATAATATTCTCTTTATGTATGGGAAATCAATTAGAATTGGATTTCATACACTTGACCTCAAAAGAATAAATATAACAGTTGTGGATCAGTACTAATCGTGCTTGATCGATCAGTTGTTATTGAAGCTATGGGATTCTTTTGAACAAAGAATGTGATCACAATTCAAAAAGCTTAGAGTAGGAAGAAGAGGGGACCTTATTTTCAACTATACATTAATGAAGTTTCCTTCACAAAACATAATAAATATGGCTCAGATTATCATATTTTCTTATTTATTAACTCCCAATAAATGTAATAGTGACGACTCTCCATCCTACACATTTAGTCCTTTCTTTTAGCGCGATGAGTTATAGAGACTGAATATAAAAATTACTTGACGTAAAAAAAATGAGTGCACTCTAGTCTTTGATTTTGTTTTATACAAGACTGTAAAAAAGTGCACTATTGTCTATATATAACATGAATTTAGCATAATACTTTTGTTTACGTCTCCATCTTTGAAAATTAAATTTGTGTGATCAACAAATTAACTGAAGAGCATAGACATTTTTTTTTTTTGCTCATTAACTTAGTGACAGAATTAACAGAAACAGTGAAGATTTTTTAGTGTAACAAAGGTTTGAAACAAAGATCGAGTTTTTGTCTTATTTTTGCCAACAGTGCATATACACATGCGACGCCTCAAAATTATTCTATACAAACCAAAGGAAATTGAAACATGTGACATAGAACAAAGAACATAACAACTTAATTATAACCCTTTTATTCATTTAATAACAGATTACACCAGTTATTAATTTATTATATACCTAAAATATGAAATAATTTATTATTGAACATACGTACTAAAAAAAGAGGGTTAATAAATGTGATCGCTTGTGACACCAACTACATATTTACTCAACCTTATACGTCACACAGAAGAGGACGTTACTTACAAGTCGCTAGTACCACTCTTCAGCTATCCATTAGTAGAAACATTTTCTATTTTCTTTGCCTAATTAATTTTTATTATTTTGTTGTATGCCCAAGAGTGAAACTATTCTTTTATTTCTAAAAACAGTAGAATTTTTTTTTTCTTTTCCAAATATTTTCTATAAACGCCCAGTAGTTTTCATTAGTTCTAGTTTACACCGATTTGATCAAGTTATAGTACAATGTTTAATACATGGCATGAAGAAAGCTACTTGATTACAACCACAATATAATTGTAATTTTCCATAAATTTAGTATCCATTTAGATATCTACACCGATTTCAGAAGTCCTGTAGAGTGGGGAAATACGTATATATAGCTTAGCTTTCATGAAGATTTAGTGAGAACAATGATCACAAACTGCGAAAAGTCTAATGATTCAAAATGATATATAAACCAAAGTAGCTTTTCTTACATAACCAAAAGAAGAACAAGAAAAAATACGACTGGTGATAAATTTATTACAACAAGTTTTAAAATATATAAATTCCG